AGATTAACATGCAAATTTTAGGAAATAGATTAGATCTAAACTATAACATATGCAATTTCCTCTTCAAAATAAGAAAGAAGAAACAATTCTATAACTTTCAAGGATAAAATGGTAGCTTGAGTCTAGAATGTGTCATGTTTAAGATAAAGAAATCAAATAATGTCCTGGTTGCATAATGAATTTATGCATGATTCTAAATAAAATGCCACAAATGTGTATCTCAGAATAAGACAATAAGACAACTACAGATATAACATAATTGGCCAAGATTTCCCATCTTCTATTCATCCTTTTCCTGTAATAGGGAGCAAAACTTTATAAAACTTATTTTCATTAAAGAAGTGAAGCAAAAAGTTAGCTGAATAAACCAATCTACCAATGAATGATAACTTTATTTTGAGAAACAAGTATGAGCACAGAAAGACTCATATAAATGCAGGTATTTGCAACCAAACTTCCTTGCACGGGAAAATATCATGGTAACAGAAGGCAAACAACTATAAAATCTGTCTTTTTACAGTTGTCCTTAAAGACTCTATTTTGTCACAATACCTTAAATTTGAGTACATTGGCTAACAACCACCCGCCAACAGCAAATTGCAGCGAGGCCAAGGTTTCTTTTGGAGAACACTATGTCCTATATATTTGGTGTCACACCATTCATCTCATAATAAGAAGACACTTTTAAGAAAAGATTATTTTGAATGCTATTAGCTTGTTAAAGAGGTAATTAAAAACATTAAGAAATTGTATTCTTCAATATGTAAAATTCATGGTCTACTACAGTGAGATGGATTTTATTCTCAGGAATGCAAATTTGATTTAATATTAGAAAATCTATTACATAATTCAGCACAATAATAGAAAGATGGAGATAGTCTCACTGTACCTTATCAATGAATGCAGAAAATTAACTTGATAAAATCAGAGAAACTCAGAGTAAATCCACAGGTGATTACCCAATATCAAAACCATGACTTATTCAAAGGTTTAACAGTACTATTGTATGACCTCTTTGCAAGGATGTACAATAGATTAGTTTAGCACGTTATATGCTGATGATGGCAGTATGATTTTTGACTAACCTCAATAGAAATTATTTTCACTATACTGTACAAATAAAAAGGTATTCAGTATATTCAATTAGAAAGATGATACATGATAGATAGATAGATAGATAGATAGATAGATAGATAGATAGATAGACAGATAGATTTTCCTAGTTTTAGATTATATTTGGAGGAATGTTTTTGCTTATTTTGGGAAGGATGAACTACTTAGTAAATAATATTGGAGCAGTTGACTGTTCTTTTGGGAGAATTACAATTACAAAAAGTGAAATCTGGATTAATTTAAGAATTAATATGTTTTTAACCCTCCAAGAGTTATGTTGGAATTATTTTAATCTTGTAAATGAAAAGGGATTTTTTCCTAACATGATTTAAATGTAGAGCTCATCAAACAATGACAAATTTGAGCACATAAAAATAAAAACTTACAGAAAAAAATGACCATTAATGACAAAAGACCACTATCTTCTATATATTTCAATTGTAAGCCAAATAAAAATTACTGGTACAAATACAAATGACTATGTTAAGTATGTAAATGGTTTTTACCTCATCTCTCATCAGGCAGAATAAAATTGAAATAGTCATGAGCATACTGATTTCAACTAGGCCGGGCATCAAGACCCAGCTATTTGGCTAAACTGCATTCTGGAAGTTTGTATGAAGGTGTTTTTTTAATAATATTTACATTTAAATTTGTGGTCTTGGAGTAGGAATTGTGTTGAAAGCTAAATCAGAACCAAACTGACCTTCCCAAGAAAGAAAGTATTCACCAGCAGACTGCTTTCACACTTCTTCTCAGACACTGACTCTTTCTGGTGTGCCAACAGACTTCCCTTTCACATGCATTCTACTTTTGGCACTCTGGAGAACCCAGACTAATACACTGAGTTACTAAATGTTAAATATCAACTTTTCAAAAATATAAAATACAGCTTCTTTCTGGCAGAGTTATGGGGTTCTTACATACACTTGGAAGAGAAAGGATTGATTTCACTGGAGAAGACAACTTGTCAGTATGTATCAAAACTTCAAAGGGAGATAGTACTTAATTTACCAGCAGCACTTTAAGAGATGCATAAGTGCCTAAGCATGTACCAAAATGATTTTCCTTGTAGCATTATTTTAATATTGGCAAATTAGAGATATTTCATTTTACTACTCATTGATTTATCAAATACCACAAACAACTCTGTGTTATGACTGACCTTGCACTCTCCCTTTAGTATACACAGTATGTGAGCTTAATTGCCAACATGATTATCTTGGAAGCTACCCACAAAATAAGTAAAGCACACATCTATGTGTGCCTGGCAAGGAGGGCTATGGAGCAATAACATTGGGCTCTATACCTGGTCCCTTATCTCTTCTACTCTGGCCCACATGACCTACCTCCTCCACCTAGGTACCACCTTCTAGTAGCTTTGAACCCACCAATACAGTTTGTGCCTTCACCTCCTCATCACTTCTCCACAAGTTAGACAATAATAACTGACATAAACATACCCCTTGTCAACTTGCCATCTATCATATCTCATCAAGCCATGTTTGTCTCCAAATAAATACAATAATCAAGGCATAATTCTGCCTAATATGATGAAACTATTCTGTTACATTAAAAATGTACATTCTCTGACTTAAAGCCTCAATTATTCAAATGTTGCTAAAAACTGCAAGTCTTAATTTTTTTTAGAACTCAAGGCAACTCAACTATGAATCCTTGTAAAAGTAAGAAACTAATATACATAATCCAAAAACATTACCAGAGGTAAAAATTCTCATGCCTACCAAGAAGGAATGAAAGGATAGAAAAAAAAATCAAACCAAAACAAGAAAATAAGTCAGCAGGCCACTTATGTGGCCGTAATTGTAGCATCTGGACACATGGTGAAGAGATGTGAGTTCTGAAGAATTGTGCAGCTTGTTCCCTATGACTTTGCTATGTGCAGGCCACATGATCTCTCTTGTGCTGGCTCCACTCATTACCTATGACCTTTTCTGAGAAATATTCCATGTTGTTGGCATCTCCATTTCCTAGGCAGTCCACTGAAGCTTTGGATTCACTGTCACAGCTTCATACATCATGTTTCTACTGACTCCAAAAGGGAACTCTGACCAGCAGTACATTTCCTGGCCTGCCAGGCCTTCCTCAGAAATCCAAATGGAAATCTCCATGATCCAAAAATTCTTGCATTCTGCATGCTTGTGTAACCACAATCACATGGACAATGACAAGTTCTGCTGCCAGCTCCAGCAGTAGCTGAGCCATTTAAGACCATTGGTGCAATGGCCTCTAAATGCCTGGATGGATGAACAGATTGAAATAAATCTTGGGAAACCCATACCCTAGATGGTCTTTCTCTGGCAGGAGGACCTATTGGCTCTTTCCTCATATGAAAAGCTGTACACATTTTGAACATTTAGCTTGTAGTGGGTGAGATCTTGCTGATTCCTTAGATACCCTCAAGGTATCATTACTATTGTTACAGTAAAAATACACACTTGTCTTTGTAAGTGTTGATCTCTTTAGAAAGTATTATTTAGCCCCAGCTTTATTTATATTTTCTTCTGGACAAACCTGAAGTTTTTCAATGTCTCTACTCTGCTTTGTGCTGCTGGTTCTCACTGTGAATCTGAATAAAGGGTGCAGTGACACATCATCTTACTTTTTCAAACAGATAATTCCCTATCACTAGTACAGCTGCTTCAATTAGATTCATAGACTTCCATTCAGTAATCACACATGCCAAAATAACAAAATAAAACCAGAAAAAAGTGAGATGAAAATTTTCATGTCCTACCTTGAAGAAACAAAAATCCAGAGAAAGTTAGGCAACAACTTTGTTAGAAAAAATGGCTTATGATGGAATGAAACTTAGACGACAGCCTTGAAGATGTATAGGAAAGACATTTTAAGCTAGCTAAATTTTAAATTAAAAGCTAAATGATATTATTGGGTATATATGAGAAAAATTTTTATTTTTTTATTTATCATTTCTTTTATAAAGATAAACAAGTTTCATAAATAATAGAATAGTTATGACACCATATCATAATCTTAAAAAGTAGTTGCTCAGTGCAAGCCATACATCAAAAAGTTCTTTTAAAAGAAAAACATAGTAGCATGAATGTTCTTTTTAGTGAACTAGATGAACAGTATAAATGAGGCAGCTTGGCATATGCATTAAAATATTTTTTAAGTGACAGAATATGTAATTTGAGGAA